GACAAAATTTTCGAAAAATTTTGAAAATACGCCCTCCCCCCGTCAAGAAAATCCTAAATCCGCCCCTGGCTTACAAAGTTAACAGATTGAAAATTAACAGCGAGAGCAAGTGTCTTTTATCATTTAATTGTAGCTTTTAAGTTTTTCACCCCACTCCCACAAAATTACACTAAAACTTATCTAAATTTTCTTATTGTTAATTCACTTCCTTGCGACAAGCAAGGGCATTGAAATTCCGTGCTGGACGTTTTTCCTGTAAATAATTTTGTTAACATGACTCACCTCCTGGACTCACCTATATACTTCCTTTATTATAGGTTCCGCTGGAGTCACTCTTATATATACTTTGTTGATAATAAATTCAATCTATCACCTGGAGCATCTAGCGTAGAGGTAACACACCTGCTTAAGATGGCAAAGGCTTGTAGTTCGAATCCGGGCGTGATCTGTTTTTATTTAGCAAATTTTGTGCTTTTTTAGACTATCGTCCGTCTGTTCATTTTGTCGGCTTAGTTCCCGTAGTCCGACTCATTTTGAAGCTTCCTTTTATTCCAACTTTCTGTAACTCTCATGCTTGAGACGACAAAGCCGGAGAGCTCGATTCAACTCGAAGCCTTTTTTTCAAGTTGAAAATTTTCGGCTATTTTGGATTTTTGTCTGCTTATTTTTGCCGGTTTATTTTCTGCAGGATGGACTCTTTTGAAAGTTCGGCTTCTTTCTAGATTTCCGAAAGCTCCTTGTGAAATTTCTAATAGTGCAGGAAATTTTGCTCGGGATCTTCTCGGAATTTTGTGTTTTTTCAACTTCGCATGGCAAAACAATAAAAAAAAATTTTCTTCAGTTTTTGGATATTTTTCAGTTTTTCTTCAGTTTTGGAGGTTTTTCAGTTTTGGATATATGTTTTTTCATTTGATTTTAATCACAGTCATTTTTCTTTTAAAATCGCAAGTGGTGCGAAGCTGAGCTTCGCGCCTGTGTAGAATTTTTTATGGATAATTTTTTGTGCTACTTTCGCATAAAATGGCTTTTGACTTTGTTTTCACTGGTGTTTATAGCACTTGAAGCCAGGCAAACTAGCCTGAAAACAGTTGGAAACGATCAATGGTAACCAGTTACTCCGCAAAGCAATCCGAAATGATTAATTTCAATGGATTTGCTGTTGCAAAAACTATCACTTAAATTCTTTATAATTTGCGCAATTCAGTTACAATTGTTTTATATCGAATTTTGAATCTATCTATTATATATTCAAATGCGGGCTTCACTATATCGCCATGCTGAAGATATGTATTATTTTTTAAGTAATATCGTATATTGCAATAGTTAAGATTTTTTTTTCGATTCTTTGGTTTGAATTCTGTTTATTTCACCAAGTTTGAAGTTATCGGCCCAATAGTGGGATGCTGTCGGGGTTTCCACAGGTGTTTTTGGCCGCCTTATATGAATAACCAAATCCTTTTAGTTTACGAGGTACGGCAATTTTCGAGATTTTTCAAAAATTTCTAGGCAACTTAATTTAAAAAAATTCTCAAAATTTGAAATTCTCAACCCTGTAGTTGCGTACTGCCAGGATTCTCCCAGAAGTTACGAATCTTGCCTCCAAAACGCACTTCTCAAATTCCTGTAGTTTTCGTTTTTTATGATTTTTTGAAAAATTTTCTAAAAACTTAGATAATCCTGTAGTTGGAATTTGTGAGTGTACTATCAGGGTTTGCGAATCTTGCCTCTGAATATGGCTGCTCAAATTCTTGAATCCTTGTAGTTTTCGAGATATGACGTTTTTTTAAGGATTTTTTCAAAAAACTTAAATTTTAAAAAAGTCAAAAAATTTCAAGATCTCAATCATGTAGTTAGAAATTGTGAAAGTAATATCAGAGTTGCGAATCTTGCCTCTGAAAATGGCTGCTCAAATCAATGTAGTTTTCGAGATATGACGTTTTCTAGGATTTAAAATTTAGATTTAAAAAACTCAACAACTGAAGATCTCAATCCTGTAGTTGGAAATTGCAAGTTTTTATCTGGGGTTGCGAAGTTTGATTCAAATATGACTACTCAAATCTGGGTAGTTTTCGAGATAAGACTTTTTTTTTCATTTTTTCAAAAAAGTTATAGAAAAGCTAAGTTCAATTTTTTCTGCAAATTCCCAGCTCTATAGTGGGGTCTCTCAGAGTATTCTCAGAGGTTGCGAATCTTGCCTCCAAATATTACTGCTGAAATCTTTTCAGTTATCCAGATATGACGTTTTTGTGAGTTTTTTCTTTTTACTTAACTCTTTTTTTTTCAAAGTTCGAAATTCCTAGCCTTGTAGTTGGTGGCTGTCAGAGTTCTCTCAGGAGTTGCAAATTTTTTCAGGAGATGTGACGTTTCTTAGTTCATTTAAAATTTTTACAGATAACATATATAAAACTTCACAAAAGTTTATAGTTTTTCAAAATTTGAATTTAAAAAACTTTTTAAAATTTTGCAAAATTTAAAATTACCAACCCTGTATTTGGGTGGTGTCAGAATACACTCAAAGAATGCTGGTCTTGTTTTCAATACATGCGGTTTTTTAGGGGTCGTGAAAAATTGGAAGCACTGGGCTTGCGTTACTCGCTACTTCAATTTAAATCCTTTTTTTTTGGACCCTGTGACACATTTTGGACCCTGTGACACATCTGGACCCTGTGACACATTTAGTTTTGGTATTTAATTTAACAATAAAAACACCACAATGCCAGGATGTTCCTCTAAAATTAATGGCTCAGCAGATATCGGGTCGGACTCAGATGTAAAATTTTAGGCTTTTTCCGATAACAAAGTGTCAAGCTAGAAATTATATTTTTTCTTTTGCGAGTCGGCACTTTGCTCACAAACTGTTCATGTTCGAACACGTTCAAAGCTGCAAACGCTGCTGCAGCTGTTGCATTTGAAGTAACCGAACTGCAAGTCATATAGTGTAGCTGTATATACAAAAGATGTTATATTAGTAATCATCTGTTTTTTGATTAACCTAGTTGGTAGTCGAAAACTTTAAACTCCTTAACCACACATCTCTTCGTAAAATGTGATTTTAGTCTTTCTATCTGGAAGAGTATGTAAGTTTTCAATTTGAAAGATTTTGTGAGTAAAATTCTCGTTTCTCGCTACATAAAAAATCGCCTCTTTACTGATCTTTATTTTCTTGTTTTATTTTTCTTTTTTGCGCTTTTATTGGGATTAGTTTTTGCAATTACATAAAAGGTCAAACATTGCACTGGATAGGCGCACAGTTTTGTGTCTCTATATTTCTGGATTGCAGAGACAAGTCTTTAAACATGTTTAAGTAGTACTTACTCTTGCAAAGCAGTTGAATTATCAAAATGTTTTTTAAAAAAAATCCCAATGATCATCAGTGAGTTGCTGAATGAGTAATCTTTTGATTGCCCACTTCATAATCAAATTAAGTGCTAGCAGCGTCTTCTGCGAACAAAGAGCTGAATTAACGACTGGGCCTCAGGTCCAAAAAAGTATCCGTTGCGTGATGTTTTCTCTTCGGACAACTCAATGTGAGGAGTAACTTGGTATTTGGGGAGTATCATTTTTTTTCCACGCAATTATGTCAGGTAACACAAATAATCATAAGAATGGGATCGGCTGATTGATCATATTAGCCCTTTCATGCGTGAGGCAATTGACATAATAATTTTTCTAGAAACTTTCTGTGTCGAGAAAGATAATTTTGTTTGAATTTGTGCTTCTTAGTATAATTTGGAGTAAAGCGAGAGTAACGCAAAACACTCCTAATTAAGCTATCAAACGATTAGTTCTTATCTGTGAAAATTAGTTAATGAAAGTTAGTTTAGCGCTTCCAGAGCAGAGCGCTAACAGATGCGAGAATGAGTTTGAAAAAAGGAAAAAAAGATAAGGTTTCATTTTCATTACTTCAAAGTGGAGCATAGAGTGATACTGCAGGCTACCTTTTTTTCCAACAGTTGAAAGTATTAGTGCTACTTTTGGTGGCATTTTAGAGCTGATGGCTGAACTGGCTTGATAATAGCTTTTGCGCTGACATTTGATAACATGGTTATCAGTAAGTCAACGCAGTTGATGTATTTTTAATCAAATGAACTGAAGAATGTTATTTGTTTCATACAGCTTTTCAATAACAAACATTCATTTTTAAGTTCACAATTCGGTCTATTTCGCAAAATATTTGAAATGCATACTTTTTACACAATTCGCTTTATTTGTCCAATCTGTTACCTGCAAAGTTAATGTGGTTGCCAATAGTTTATTACTTTTTGCCGTGTTCTTGAGTGTCTTTGGTTTCTATAAGCGTCCGTGGCATAGTTGTGTAGGGCAAGTTTATTACTTTTTGCCGTTTTCTTGCGTGTCTCTTGTTTCTATTTGCGTCCGTGACATAGTTGTGTAGGGCAGTAGTTTGGAAAACTTGATGTCCGAGGGCTGGGGTTTAATTCTCGTTGAGTGAGGTCTCTTTTGACAGTTTTAAACTTATTCGCGTTTTTCTGCTTTTCTGTGCAAAGTGCAGCTTCGCCTCTGTGTTGATTTTCAAAAGTAACTATAGTCAATTTAAACTGTTTTTAAAGTAAGAAATCACGCAACTCAATGTGAAAAAAATCATTTTTTAAAATTAAAACTAACTGGTCGTTCAGCAACCGGCAATTCTTGTTCGGAAAATTTTTAACGGCCTATTTACCGCAGTATCGATCTGCTCTGAATCTTGAATTTTTTCGCAGAGTCAAGCTTATTGTTATGAAAATCGACTAATACCTTTATCATTAGGTGGAGCAAAACTCGGCTTCTCCACTGGGTTTCAATTTATCATTGCAATTTAAACGGGATTTATGCTAAATTTATATTTTCACAAGGAGGTTACTCATTAATTGCGTAATAAAGCAGTTGCGGGTTTTGAGGTTTTCCCAAGATGCGTATTTTTTATCTCATTGGTTTCCAAAGCGCTCGTTGATCAGGTCATTATATAGATAAATGTTTATGATGAACTTTGAACTGACCATTTCAGTTGGACTGTGGTGCTTATGAATGCGATGCAAGCAGTCCTTCTAGACTCTCTGGACGACCTGGGCTATGAGAAGCCAGCAGGCTTGGAGGCAAACATCGTTAATGCTAAATTAACAAATCACAATAATACAAGAAATATCAATCTAATTAAACATCCATTCTACCTTTGCACTGCATATTCTATGTAAGTAGTGCTGATGAGTACTACAATTTTTGATAACCATCTGTGAGACAGTTCTGTTTGAAAACAGTTGCCATAAATAGGATACAAGATGAGAGCTGATATAACTTCTTTTCAAGCAAAATCGAGTGAAGTATTGATTTTAGAAAATTAAACGATTAGAAAAAGTTATTTTTAAAGCCGAGCTTAAAAACTGAAGAGCTCTATGGGAAGGAAAACTGACGATGCTTTTTAAAAAAAAAAAATTTTAAACGTGACGATGATTGAACGTTGAGGACTCGGATCTGCTGCAAGCGTACAGCCTGTTTTCGAAGTCGGAGGAATGTCGCCGTTTAATCATATGGCTAACACAGGAACTGCAATTCGTGAACAATTTCAACGAATGTGTTCATGACGAATCACTCACACATGAAGATTCATTCAAAATGGAGTTGTCCGCGTTTTTGCGTGAATTTGGTACGAATTTGTAGGTGTCGTTTAATGTAATGCTACTGTGCTAATTGGCACTGGAATAAGCTATTAGAAATTAATCTATAGTTTTCAAGAGATCAGGGTTTATTTGAATCAAGTATCACCTACTGTGAAGTAGTTTCTGTAATTGTTGCATCCACATTTCCACCGATTGAAAGATTTACATAAATAGGTTGAAAAGTTGTAAAAACTTTGTGGACTATATTGTATCGCCCGCTTCGATGGTTACAAATATCTTCATCGTAGAATAATAACAAAATGTTAATGTTTTGGTTCTTTAGATTACCTCGAAGATATTTCTGAAGGCGACAGTTGCTTGCAGTTCTTGCAGCACCTCTGTTCTGAACTAATGTGTGGGCGGATGTTGCTGCACAGAGACCAAGCCAGACTATCTAAATTGAGTGACGTCAGCAGCAGAGCCACTGAGCCTGTGCAGTGTCTAGTATCCATCATGAAGTGTCTTGGCATAAAACCACCCCCAAAGGGAGTCACGACCACCCAACTGTTCACTGGTAAAAAATTCTTTTTTATAAAAATATACAGTTGCCGTTCAAGAAGCACATCAAATTTTGACACGACTCCCCCACCCTTTTTTATCTGTTTGTGTTCAATTTTCACTCAATTTTTTGGTCGCGTGAGTCAGCATCTAGAGGTAAATTTGAAAAGCTGCCTACGGCTTTACTAATGTATATAACAAGAGTTTTTTTCCATTGCTTGCAATGATGACCAAATATGAAAAATGCATAAAAGTATCGTTCCTTGCTCTAAGTTCGCTAAAAAGCGAAAATTTTAAACCGGTTTTGGTCGCATTACGAACAAAATAATAATAACCCTTGTATGATATATGATATTTTAATTATGACATATCCGTCGACTGTATCTGACTTGGCTCTTCTCACAAAACTTAATAATTCGGATACTTATGATAGGGTAGTTCATCGAAGAAGTGGATCTATCAACACATTGCCTAATCTGTTGTTAGCCCTGTGATATGTCTGAATGTATCTAAGCTAACTGACTAACTTAGAATAAGAATTGTTAAAAGACTAGAATTTCTTCCGATAAATCAAATACAAATCAACAATGTATGCTGTTATCTTTCAACATGCATCAGGCAGATTGAACACAATTCTCACATTCAAGTATCAATCTCGGGATACCTGTCCCAACACTGACACATTTAATTAATTCATCTAAAGCTAGACGTAATGCAGCTACAGCTAAACACGGTACGCTGTGCCGTACGACACTTCCTCTCCACAAAAAGTAACAAAGGCATTTTGATATAAGTTAAGCTCAATCTGTTCAAAGTAAGTAAACAAGCTTTAAAATGTTTGAAAAATCAGAGTTTTGGTGTGCGCCTTTTAACAACTTTTATCTTCCTCCTAAGTACTGGTGAATTATCCAATTCGCCTTCATTGTAAAGACTGAATCGTATAAGGAAGTTTTTTAGGTGCCATTTCCTCTACTGTTTTGATCGCATGCCTGACTGGGCTCCCAAAGAACTGAGTCTGGCGCTTGTTTCGTCCAGATGACGTCGATGTCACTGAAACATTGTCGTCTTGGTCGTCTTTGAGCTGGTCTGACGACTTGGCTGGCGATTTGGTGAGATCTGGAGCGGAGGCAATAGGCTTTCCAACGTGGCAATTTGGTTTTTTTACCCCAAAAGCGGGCAATCTGAAGGTTTCGGTTATGAATTTGACGGGAGCTCATCTTCGGTTGAAATTGGAATAAGTTCTCCTGACTTCTTAATGGGTTTTGAGGGTTCGGGCGCCTTTTTCTTTTTAGGAGGAGACACTACCACAGTCTTCTCGACAGGGGAGGACGATACAACCGGGGGTGGAATCACCCCTCCTGAACTTGACGATGTAGCCGTGAAATCGACCAGTGGGGTTTTTTTGTCCAAGGAGAGACCTGGAGCGTCAAAAGACTGCGGTGCAGATTTCGGTGCAATCCTGCGTAATTTTGAGCCGGTCGGCTGGAGATGATGGGATAATCTGAAGTTTTGAAAGCGAAGCTTTGGAGTTTGCTACCAAATTCCGTTTCGAAGGCGAATTTGGTGGTAGAAGGTGGTCGTCACCTGAGGACGAGGAAGTAGGCGACTGGTAGGTCTTTTTGGCCCGCTGATGACTTGGAGGAAGACTGTTTGCCTAAAACTCTAGTATAAACCGACTTTAATCTGATATAAATATGGCTCTTCCGAATAACTTTCCCTTTTGATGTAATAAAAGAATCGTTGGTAATTTTAGATTTTTGTCGGAAAATCTTTTGAGTAGGGGTTTTCCAGATTTGCGATCTTAATTTTTTATGAAAATTTTGACCCGATGTGGTTCCGATAAAAGAGTATCCTCCAATTTACTTGTAATTTTCTCAGTGGGTTTATTGGTCGGAGGCGACCGGAAGCGAAGGGTTGCAGAAGTCAAATTATTCCTTAAGTTGCGGCTAATATCGCGTTCCTTTTCGAGAGGGCGTTCAACGCTAAGGCTCCTTAGTCCTTGGAAAGGGTGTTTTTCTGGACCATTCACCTGCTGGCGGATTTAGCAAGGGAGTTGTATCTGCTATTGATGATGATTTCAATTTGAACTGGGGGCTCAATTCTCAGCTATTCTCCCCCTTGTGCACGAATTTGACTCCTGGGCGGCTATCGTAAGGTTTATGGCGTTTCTCTGCGGTTAGGGCATCTCTGACCAAGTGTTCCTCATCCAAATTAGATTTTAATTTATGGTTATCATCATTGTTTAATTTGAGTGCGTCCTGAACATCTGGTTTTACGTTTTAATGTCTGAATGAATCATTCGACCAAACCACTATCTTTGTGGTCACTTACCGGGAAGAATCAATGTTTGATGCCATTTTCGGTGCAAAATTTTGATACTATTTTTTTAAAACCGGAATTTTTGTCAGCTCTAAAAAATTTTGGGGAGTAGAATGGATATCGATATAACTAGAGAGAAATGTGATGATTTTTTGTGCGCCTGGGGTACGAGTCATCATGACAGTAGGATACTTAGAAAAGCGGTCGATTGCAACCAGTATATAAACCGAGTTTCTTTTTCCATATGATAATGGGCCGGTGTAATCCAACTGTAGTTCTTTATTTGCTGAGGTGAAATCAGGTTGAGATTTTGAAGAATTGAATACACTAGAAGGCTTCATGTTTTTACCAAAATTGGTGCATTGGACACAATCTTAGCCGTTGCGGATAATGTCCCTGTGAATTCTGGGCCACCTGTTGTATTGGGTGGCGTCTATCATGGCCTCTTGGCCTTGGTGTGCTCTGTGAAGTCTGGCAAGTACTGATCGTTGGAGGCATTGCGATGCGGTTGTCGATACATCTGTCAATGACTGCAGTAGAGTTCAAGACAGTTTTGATGTACAGATCATTTCTGCAAAATCTATCATACTCTTTCGCGTCCACTGCTCGTCTCATAAGTTTTAACGTTGGGTCTACCGAAGTGAGTTTGGCGAGGATATCTGGGGCAGCGATTTCCTGTCCTCCGATATGGGAGACTTATGTTTCGCCGAGAGCTTCAGTACTGAGTGACATTTGACATATCTCGCTGAACGTAGTGTTGTTAAAGCTGATCGACCGAGAGCAAAATTGGAGAGAGGATCGACTTCGTTTAATAAGGTTTCAAAGCTTTCATCACTGTAAGAGGTCAAATATGCTCTTCAAGTAGACATTACTTCTGAAAAATTGGTGAGTTGTTTATTTTTAAGAATGGGTTTCGGCCTCTGAAGTATTTACAAATTTGATATGTGGGTTTGGATTTGAGTTTGTATGTGATGGGTGAAATATCCCGGTAGAAAGTGATGCGAAAACTCGTAAATGAGTATTTTCATTTCCGAATCTGCATAAAACGTTCTGATTGGTCGAAAAACGCGGCTTTGCATTCATGGCTATTTTCACGGTGCCATCTTCCATGGCTGTGATTACTACTGTAGCCACAAAGTTGTTGCTCGTACATTTGCTAAGTTTGACGATATGACCTTCCTTTATCAGTTTTTAATTTCATTATGCACCTGCTGTATATAGATCGGTACTCGTCGACCTTTCTCTTGAATTGGAATAAGAGGCTCCTTGAAGACCGAATGTTCTCTCTAATTTCTAGATCTGCCTAAGAGGCAAATTAACTCACTGTATTTCCTCCTATAAGTATCTCTCCAGAGTTTCGATTCATTAGGTTCCAGGTCGTTTGATGTTATTCTAATTGAAGTTGAAATTGAGTTGTTGGAACTCCCATTAAAGGTTGGAGGTCCAATCCTAGTACTCACTTTGTTCGGTTTTCCGTTACCAGAAATTTTTGCACTCTTTACTGGCCAACCCAATGAAAAAATAGCTAATAGAAGAGTGTCATGAAGGAGGATAGGTTCCGGTTATAATCCACAGAGTGTATTAAGGGGCGATTATGAGATGGGGATCAACTTTTCATTTCTTCTCGCTTAAGTAAAATATCTGCCGTCCTTTGATAAAAGAAACAGGACTGCCTGGGTCAATAGTTGGTTTAAAATAGGAGTTGTTAGCTCTGAAGGTAGTTTGAAGACATTTAATCTTATACGTGGCTTTAGTGATAACGTCTATCTTTTTTACTGAGTTTGGTTTTGAGGACGTTGTCCGCGGACGGTGATGGATAAGCTGGTCGGTTTCGACCGGCTTTAGAGTCGTCTCAGATTGGATAAGTTGGTCGGCTCCGACCGACTCCGAACTCATCAAGATACTGAATTCGGATTCACTGTCCGATGTTATAAAATTGCAGTTTTCTTATGCTGTTGATTCGGAACCTTCACTAATTTTGTCAACGTTATCTTTGAAATTGCTCACTTTAGCAAAGTGGCTTTTTTTGTAGCACGATTTTCAGTTGACGTTTCTCGTGGGACAAATAGCTTTGTGGTTTGAAGAAAATTCGTTTCCACAAAAATAACAGGGTTTTTTTTTGTTGTTAGATGGCCCGGAATTGTATGGTTTCTTGCTATTCTGTGCCCTGGACATACGGTTTTGCCCTTTGTTCTTCTTTTGAATCGAGAAGGCTGGTTCCTGCTTGACTTTAAACTGAAAATTTGATGAAGAAGTTGAAGGATTAGAGCTCATTTGTCTCAAGGGTTGTGCAGTCACGTAATCCTTTTCCTGGAGTAGCGCCGATTTCAGTGGCTCTTCAGAAATTTCCGGGGTGAATATATAGCTCTTTTTGGATGTCCTTGAAACGCATTTTTGCAATAAAAAGATATGTTACCTCTTCTTTCTCGGTCGCAATTGACCATCTGCACTGAGCTTCTTGGTCCAAAAGAAAAACGATTCGAGGCCTTTTTTTCGGATTGAGTGGAGTTGTATAAATGCATCCTTTCAATTATGAGATTTTTCTCCTTCTTGGAAGATTTGAAAGCTGGTTTGACTAAATCTGTATGAGCGTAGTTTTGTAAAAATGTTTTTAGCATTCAGATCTTAGGGAGAAAAGAGATGGGATTTAACTCTCTGATCAGCTTCGTAGAAAAATACATTAGTACCGTTTTTTAGTCCTTTCTTGCTCCTTACAGCGTTCTGTTTGCAATGGTATCAATGACGTAGGCTTTGTGTAGGTTCTCTCTCGTGGCTTCTTCGTCTGTTATGTCAAGGGTTGTTTGTGTGGTTTTCAGGTGGTTACTCATGGATTTTCGGATTGCTATTCTTTCTTCGTTATTTGCTTGTAGCTCGTGGCACGGGTGGTCGGGGTTCTTCATGTCAGCTGCAAACTGGCTAGCTAGTATTTCGTTGTGGTTTTTCACCGACAGGCAGAGTGTATCTTGTGTAAGGTGGTCGATTGCTGTCATTCTTGTGCACCCTGTGGCGGTTCTCAGTGCGTCGTTCTGTCTTGTCCAGTTTCCTCCAATGGGTTTCGGCGAGGTTTGGAGCCCAGACTGGAGCCGCATAGTTGAGGACGGAGCAGGTGATCGCTTTGTACACAATTGAGACTTCCTTCTTCTTGAGTCTCTGTTTTCCGGACGTGATGGCTCGGAGGGCAATGTTCCTGTTGCTAGCTGTGTTGTTAGGGATTTTTGCGTGTTCTCCGAAGGTTATTGAGTGGTCCAGTGTGACGCAAGTAACTTGATGTTGCGCTCTGTAGGTATTTTGGCCCCTTCCAACCTAATGTTCAGTTCGGGCTTCCATTTTAGGAAGCGCACTTAGTAATGGAGACATAGCTGTTTGGATTTCAGGTAGGGGGCGAGAATTTCGAGATAATTGTTGATCACTAGTACCCTACACAAAGCCTACGTCATTGATACCGTAGCAAATCTAAAGCCAAACAGAGTTCTCAACACCCAACCCCCAATAAATCAAAACAAGATCGACGAAATGGAGAAAACTTTAACAAGAGAACAACAAGTCTGGCTCATCCAGACGAGGAGTGGTTTCTGTTCTCAACTCAATGATTATCTTCACATAATTGATGCCTCCGAAACAGACATATGCCGATTCTGTAAGAAAGAAATAGAGACAGTGGAACACGTGCTAGCATGCCTCGCCAACCTAGCTTCAGAAACCCTATGGACAGATCCCAAAAGAGCCGCGACCAAAACTAACGGGCTGTGAGGGCCTACACAACAACAACGGCGTTGTGTTCATTTGTTTTCCGTAATTCAGCTTGATTTCTATTTTCCCGATTTTCAATATCAATGGTTGATTCGGATTCACCTGAACTTTCTGGTCTTGGTGGAGGGTCGTCAAAAACCTCACCTGGTGGTTGTAAAAGGTCATTTGGGTCACAATTCTCCCTCAGAGTGATGGCAAGAAAAAGTTTCCCAATCCATGTGTCCCAAGATACAGGTGGGTCAGATGTTGCTTTTGGCCAGTATTTGGGTCCCAGTTGATCAGACTACTCATCGTGATTCAACTGCTGGCTGCGCCATGTGATGTCTGAATTTATCTAAGCTAACTGACTAACTAAGAATAAGAATTGATAAAAGACTAGAATATCTTCCGATAAATAAAATGCAAATCAACAATCTGCTGTTATCTTTCAACATGCATCAGGCAGAACAGTGATTACAATTCTCACATTCAAGGATCAATCTCGAGACCTGTCCCGATCTTGACACATACAGTTAAATCATCTAAAACTAGACATAATGCAGCTATAGCTAAACAGTGTACGCTGTGCCGTACCACAAGCCCCTAAATTGACGCTTTATTTGGTTGTAAGTCGGCCGGGGTATTTATTTTTTGACTGGGGCGGATCTAAGATTTTCTCCAAGGGGGGGGGCGTATTTTTGAAACGCGCGTCCCCCTTAAAACAAGTTTTTTTTGGCGCAAAAGGCGCTTATGGAAAAGTTTTAGGGTTCGTCAGCCAAAATGGATATTGCAAAATGGTACCAAGGGGGTTGTTTTAAATTGATGAAAAGAGCACGCACTTTCTTCATGCTTCTGGCTACTTGAGATAAAGGGAAGGTATATAGTAGATGAAACTACATAACAGGATGTAATGAATCAGGGCCGGAAAATGTTTCTTTTGATGACGTCATTAATCGATTCAACCAATACTCGATAGAGAGATTTAAGAGTGATGAAAAACCAACGTATACAGTGGCAGATTGGGGTGTAGGGGCGACGTTCTTCTTCCCCAGTGATTCGACCCCCTGACGACCCAAAGGGTCACTCCTCTAAAATTATTTTAAGCGATTTATTTTTGGCTGACCGACATTAAATTTTTTCTGAAGACATCAATGCGTTTTTTGACCGGTTTTTCCACAAATTTGCCTGCGGCGCAGAAAATTTGTCAAAATAGGGTCTTTAAAGAGATTTGGAGGAGCTCAGAAAATCAATTTAGTCGACCTAAAAAAAAAGGTCGCCAACTTTTGAAAATCCGCAACCTGAATGTATACATTACAAGGGGCTTAAATTTTCACGCTTAATTTTTCATCGAATAGCTGAGGATTGTTGTCACTGCTGCATCTTATTTTTTCTTGACGTCAACAAGCTTAATCTGGCAAAATGTGGCCTGTTATGACCTGTTAACTAATAGAACATGACCAGGTTTGATTAAATGGCAACAAGCTTCTATAGCGAGGTCCAGGTTATTCGACTATCAGTCCAAGAGTTTCTTAGGTAATAGCTCACTTGAAATTTCTTCTCGAAAGTAATCTATGAAAATTAATATATGCTTTTGGTTTCTGAATTACTTATTTATTGTCACCAGTGATCCAGCAGAAGTTGGCAGAGCGGTCGAAAGCAGTGCCTCCCAACCTGCTGTCGATGCGAGTGATAAAGCAGCAGTTGGGTCCAGTCCAGTTTCAGCAGCTGGAGGAGTTGAACGATGTGATGACGAGGGAGTACTCCATCCGGCGACAGATGTTGCTGAAGAGACTGGACTGTACAATTGAGTCGTTCGGATGGACTGATCGCATGAAAGGTACACGCTATAAGGTTACATAGCCGAATACTCAGATAGACGATAAAATACCTTAACCTGGATAGTCGAATGCTTAGCAAATACAAACAAAAATTCATAAGAAGTATAGTTTTTGTTGTAATTTGTTTTGTAATTTTTATTCTAAGTTTTCGGCTATCTGGAAACAAGACTTACTTCGGCTATCCGCTTATCCGCTAATGTTTACTCAAAATGTACACTAGTGTACAAAATAAACGCAGTTTAAATAGTTTTTCAAGGTCTATTTAAACCATTTATAAAATGTAACCTAAATCTTTCACTAATGGAGATCAAAGAATTGCGTAGTGCACCGTCCCTTCTGTGTTTACACTTGAGAGAGTAAGTGTCCTGATATCGGGAGCTTTTTTAATCGTCAAGACCTTTTCTTAGAAATCTGCATTAAATGCATTTTCTACATGCTGACTATCTTGACATGCAGACCAGTGCTCATTTTCACAAAAATTCAAGTATACTTTCCTCATTTTATGTTGTAATTAGATTTTCAAAATGAATTTTAGAAATAAATGTTCATGATTTTGTTTCAGATGTGTGGTTTTTGTCCTAACTTTGGTCCGTTAGTCTCCGTTTATGTTCAGACCATTTGAAAAATGGAGAGGAATTTTGTATTCGGGTGTGTTTTAGTTTTTTATTTCTTTTGTTTTCCACGCAAAATCAGGTACCACAAATACTCATCGGACAGTGTCGAGTGATATATCATATCAAAGCCCTTTCAGTCGTGATTCGAACGACATTATGTGGCAAAAATTTCCTCAGTGTCGAGAAAAACCTGTTTGAATTTTTTGATTTTTGGTCTAATTTCTAGCGAATAAGGTGAGCGAACAGGCTTAAAATAGGACCTATATTAGCTTATTAATGCTGAATTTAAAGCCATGAAAACTTAGTTTTACTCAAGTAAAGTTAATTTTTGGAATTTGTTTGCGTTATTTCGGGAATCAAAAACTTCAAAATTCAAAAAAGATCTGCAAAATTTGATAAAGTTATGTGATTTTTTATTTTTTTGTTCATTTTTCTACAAAAGCTGTTTTCTTATTGTCTATTATATTATGAGTGTAGAATGTCTAATTTCAAAACAAAAATTTTTTGTTTTTATCAAGACTATAGTCGAAACGTTTTGTGCTACTTGCACGTTAGCCGACTATCTTTGTTTTTAGTGCGGTTTCCCATGCACGAGTTTTTTTCGATTTAAACAGCATATGTTATTTTGTTGAAGTCACCTCATATTGGGTACAATTGAAGGAAAAGTAGTTTTGAATGCTTTTGTCCATTTCAAAAAGGTTGGGTTATAAAAAGAATTTTAGTTTCAAAACTATAGAGCTCAACTTTTTATGACAAAATTTCGGGGTAAGGGTGGTCGACACAAGTTTTGTTGGCGTAGTTGCCGCACGCTGAACGAGCGCCCAAGCTTTTTTTGAGGACGTTTAATGAACATCACCCGATACAAACCGATGAAATTTTCAAAAAAGCATTGTTTTGCGAGTTTAATCAAGTAATTTTTCAACCTAATTCTTCATGTTTTCTTTCTCTTTTTCTTTTCTTTATCTTGTAATGAATGACTTTGTTGTAGCAAGTTGAACTTGCTTTATTATTGAACATTAACAATTCCTGGTTCCTTCCTACTTAGTCTAGAGGTAACGCGGTTGCCTGTACTCCCAAATGTTTCGGGATCGAGTATGTATGAAATTGTAATTTTTTCTAGGAAAGGTTAATTTTTTGGATTTTGGTTTGCCTGCTTATTTTTGTTTTACTCAAGTTCCAAAAGATTGAATTTTTAAAATCGATTGAAAAAATTTTTACTACTCGGCTTACGAACTCGGGGTTTGATTAACTTTTTTAATTTTTTGGTTTTTTTTTCTTTGTACACAAGCATAGCTTGTTTTATAGTTTGAACTATCGTTTTTTTTCCAACCTAAGTCGTAAATATTGTTGCGATGCAATTGTTACGATAAAATGTGTTTATTTTGAAAGTGTTCATTTTGATCCAGCTATTAAGTACAGCGAATGCTAAGGATATTAACACAAACTATTTTATTACAAATAGCACTTAAGCTTCAAGTTATCATTGATCTGTAGCGTAGAGGTAAGGAAGGAGACCAGCAACAAAATAAGATGGCTCAAACCTGGGCAGGGTCGGGTGTTCAAATTGAACTTTTTCGTATACTAGTTAAAATGCGTCCGCTCTATAAATTGAGGCATGTTAGTGGGTAATTTTTTTTTCAAATTGACTGGTACTGCTAATGCGTCATAATTGGGTTGCGTCACTTAGCATTTATTTTGATTCATATTTGGTGTGTGTCACTTAAAAAATTTTGTAGACTCAAAGTTTTTCTCATTTAGTTTTTCCCAGTAGCAATATTGGTCATATTTTTGCTTGTGTATGCGAAGTGCAACTTCGCCTCTGTGTGAAATAATTGCGGCTCAAGTTTTATCGGCTCAGTGAAAATGTTTTTGGTCGTTTGTGCGGCAAAACCCTCTTTATATAATTCAGGTTGGTTGTGGTGTAAATTTTAATATTTAATGAAAGTTAATTCTGGGAAATTTTTGAGTAGTCGGACTATAGTTTGTAGTCTTAGTTGCTAAACCGAGATGTTTTTCTGCACTGTAAACAGTTTTCTTTGTAGTATGAAGTGTCGTTGATTAGCTACTAGTTTTTTAAATTTACCATCCCTGACCGGTATAATTTGCGTTTTTTTTTTCAGTTAAAAGTGTTATTCAGCCTTAATGATTTCGACTTATGGCATTTTTTGTCTTCAGTTCTGTTGGCGACTTACTGCTTGTTGGTGGCTCAGTTAACTCTCAAAAAGTACTAGAAGTCGTTGAATGCGAGTGATTGTATTTCTCGCCTGTTTTCCTGCGATTTAATGTTTTGTATTTCCAAAAAAATTCTTGATTTTTTTTATGACAACATTTTTCTTCGGTATTTTTTTTTGTACTCGGATCGATTGGCGTCTTACCACGCGTTGTTGGCTTAATGAATGCTTAAAAAATAATAAAAATTACTTTGATGCTAATGGTTGTTTCTCGCCCTTTTTCTGAGGTTGAATTTTTCGTATTTCCAAAAAAAAATTTATGACAAGATTTTTTTTTGGTATTTTTTTCGAATCATTTGATGTGATGTCTAACCTCATCGAATTTTTTGTATTTCGAAACAAAGATATTTTCAAATTTGTTTTAGACTTAGTTGTTTCCATCTCACTGTCTATTTGTTAGCTTAAAATGCTACGCTTTCGATGTATCGCAAGTCATGTGAAGCTCAGTGTTGCCTCTTGGTAAAGTTTTTTTAGTTTCTGGATTGAAATTTCTTGAAATTGTCTCGAAAACGGTTAGTTGGTAAGTTTTATGAAAAAAATCCCGTTCGAAAAATAAAAAGAAAAGTTTTGCGATAATAAGTAACCTTTTCTTGTCTAAAATGTGTATATTTTTATCAATTTATAGAAACGATGCAATACTGAACTTATTAGTTATTCACATGCAATATTTTTTTTCAGGTCACGTTCCAAAAATCAAGGAAGCTTTCGAACCTCGACGAGCTGTGTTGTCTGCTGAATCGACAATAGGCATCCCACACCTACTAGCCGCACGAGACGATATCCTGCGCTACTACAAAACTTCCTCCTCTATACTTCGCAAAAACACAATCAGCAAGCTGAACAAAGTTATGATGGGTTCAGTTCCCGACAGGGGCGGAAGACCTCATGAAACCGCTCCGCCCCCGGAAGAAATGCCCGCTTTTAAGAAACGAGAAGCCCCACTGCCTGACGCGGGTGGAAGGGGAGGAGGGTTTGGCCAAGGAAGAGGGAGGGGAGGCGCTGGCGGCCGAGTACAAGACAGAAATTGGCAACAAAGGGGGGACGGAAATCGCGGAGGAGGAGGGGGCTATAATCAGAACCATTATCAACAAGGGGGTTCAGGTGGATACTACAGTGAAGGAGGAGATGGAGGGGGCGGTGGATACAATAGTCCAGGCGGTGGTTATCGTGGAGGGAGTGGGGGTAGGGGTGGGGGCTATAATAGCAGACAGAACAGTGGGAGAGGACGAGGAGGGGGCAATCAGTATTACTATTGAGTCTTTAGCCTTATGGGAAAAGTTTTGATTATTGTTGAACTTGAACTTTAGAACTGTCTCCGTGAACTCCTTTTGTTTTTTTTTCTCTTTCAAACATATGAGAACATATGTTAAATGTGTTGATTATAAATCTATTTATCTTAATTGGGTTAAGAAAAATAAAGCTACTTAGAATTTGTTTTTTTTTTCAGGTATTTCCTCGGTTAAATAAATAACAGATTCACTGATGAAGTGAAATAGTTGAAATGACTGATTTATCAATTCAACCTGTCGCACCTGCGAGAGCAAGTGTAGTGTAACTGGCAACTTGAAACATCTTTATAGCCACTTGAAAATAGTTGGAATGATATGAATTCATGAACCAGATTCTCTAACGAATGTAAAGTGCCAAAATTTACAAAATTAAAACTCATAAAATACATTTAGAGTGAAAAAAGTTTCAATAAAACAGGCACATAAAGCGACTTTTTTCTGTCGTAAATGGAAAAAAGCCATTGCGTACATTATTATTATTCCGGTGCTGCGGAGAACAATTGTTGGCGTTCAGATACGAGGCTACATCACCAACCATGGTAACTCGCTTTCCTCGATGAGGCAATGGTCGCACAAACAAAATTTTCCCCTTTTTTGTTAAAGATAAAAGTCGATCTGGTTATCAAAATTTTCCCGATTCTCATTAAAATAAACTTCAGTCGGTCAATTGATAAAGTGCTACAAACACATCAAGTATCCGTTTGCTGATGTCTGTGGTGGTGATGTCTGTTTGAATTCGGTGGAAATTTTGGTATATATTTCAAAACACAGTTTTATTTAACAGCGTCTATCCCTACTTTAAGGTGGCTAGTGTTAGTTTACAAGCGACCGCGGCGCCAATGAGAAGACGTAAGACTACTGGTTCACAAATCGGAGATTCAAGTCCGGAACATTGGAATAGTTTTTGATGTGGTGATAATTTAATAGCAACTGTAGATGCTTTATTGGTAGCTAGTGTTAGTAAATTTTAAGCGATCGTGGCGTAGATGCACGGATGTCAGACTCCTAGTTTCAATGCCGGAGGTTCAATTCTGGCACATAACAAAAGTTTGATTTTTCAAGACTGATTTTAACCTTTTATTTTTTTCTTATATCATTGTGTTACTTTTTGCCATTTTCTCAAGTGTGTTTGCAAAGTGCTCCTTTGCTTCAGTGTATTACGCTAGCTGTAATAATTTCTTTTTATTTGGCTCAAATGATTTCGTCTTTTTGGCTTGGTCACCGTACTAATCAAGGGTTTGAAAATTGTCAATCCGCCCGTTTGGAATAATTAAAATTTGGCCATATTGATGCGAGATCAACCGTACAGTCCCCCCTCCCCCCAAATTGATTTAGGGGGGAAAATATGGATTTTTCAGGAAATAACTCTAAGAAAAATAAAAATTGATTAAAAATACGTTAGTTTAGCTTATTAACAGCGTTCAAACGCAATCACACATAAAAATTGTGGCAACCAATTTTATGAGCGCGTTTGTTCGAAATCCATACATTATGCAGAATAAATTTTCAAATTTAATGTGGTTTGGGGGGGGGGGGGGGAATTCTACGGTTGGTCACTTAGTTGTGTGTGAGGGGGGGGGGGGGGGGGGTGCATAGATTACGTTTCATCCCTGATGTGTTCTAAACCTGCAACATCCTTTTGTGCTTGAAAAATTTTGAATTAACTTTCCGATTCATTTTATTATTTTATTTTTGCTAGATGGTTCAAGTTAATCGTCCTTTTTTCTCATGTTTAAAAATCAGCACGTCATTTGATGCAAGATATGAGATAATAGTTTGCTTGAGAGTAAAAAATAACAGATGGTTAAATGCATAACAAAACACTGATCGCACTGATTCAAGAGGGTGGTTGGGTTGCGGACGCCTCACTTCCTCAGAGATTTGAGCAAAAGTGTCCCCCTTGTACTATCTTGAGATCTCCATTTTTGGTGAAGGATCCTAAAAAACTTTTTTGAGGGGAGAGCGGGCGCCACATGAACGCGCTTTTTTTTAGTCAAAATTATTCAAAATGTGCCCAAAAACGCCTTTTTGGCCTTTTTTCAAAATTTTGCCTGCGGCGCAAAAAGTTTGGACCAAACATCTATTTCGTCTACCTAAAAAAAAATCTTAAAAATTTTTGACTATTTTTTTGAAAATCCCCCCCCCCCCCCTCGAGAAAATCCTAGATTCGCTTTTGCGTGTGGTTAAAGCAAACGCAATAATTTTTTTTAAAAGTTGATGTCGAGTTTTGAGCACGTTTGACATGTTTTCTGTTTTGGGTAAAACTTTGCAGGTTATTTGAAACAAAATTGAATAGCTTACCAACTAGTTAATGTTTTTGGCTAATTCGGTTTATCTCTAAAACGACTTAAAATTGTAAGCAAAATGTTTTAAAATGATGTCAAAATTTGAATGGCTACTTCTAGCCAATGAAATTGAAACAAAATAGTTTCATTTCAAAATATTGAAAAAATGATTTTTGGGCGAAACCCGTGAAAAGATCTTAACTGTGCCTTATGACTAACTGATTGCCCCAAAGCAGATGAAATGTCTGTCGCCAGCAACGCTGTCTGCTAAAATATCTAGCAAGAGAAATTGTAACAGAAAATAATTGTTTTTGAACACAATAATTAGTTATTCCTTTCATAAGAGCAATGCATATATAGCAACACGCACACATTGTTTTATTGATAAATTGAAAAAAAAACGCTTAATTGCCAAGAAACGAATCATTTAGTTTGTACAAAACTTTCGTTAGAAAAGGAATAGATTTTCTTTTGCTTATTTAGAGCGTTAGCTTATTTTTTTGCTTTTTTCAAGTTCATTTCTCGTAATATTATGTTAAATATTTTGATCACATTGATTTGAGTTCCAAGTTGTTTGAAATTCACGAAGATTTCATGAATGGAAAATTCCATATTGAAAAGAAGCTATTAAGAAGGATTTGTTTTTACCACTCATTTTCAATTTATTTGAAGAAGAGCAAGGTTTGCCATCCTCTTAACAAATAGATTCAAACCAATTTGTTAAAAGGCTGGTAAATTTTGCTCTCCGATAAGTAAAGTGAAAATAAGTGGTGAAAACAAATACTTATGGATACAGTTGTTTTGAACATGTTTTTTTTCAATCATGAAATCTTCGTGAAATTCAAACAGCTTCGAAGTCATATCAACGTGATAGAATATTTGCTATTAGTCAATTTTGAGTTTAAAATTAGACTTTCCGGGCTTACGTCCAAAGAAGAAAAACGCTTATCATACAATTTTATATACGGAGTTAATGGAAAAACGCTCATCAGACAAGAAGACAATTGCATGAGAAATTGCACTTTTTTTTTACAATTGAAACGTTTCCGAAAGTTACCTTAAAATGATTTAAAACTATCCAATAAATTGTTTTTATTGCAATTTCACGTAAAAAAATTGTATGATAGAATTCTTTCTACAAAAGAAATCTTGAGGTAAAAAATAATTTGCGAAAAAAAAACTTTGCACGCGAGGTTTGATACCTTGTGTCCATGACGTAGTCCAGGCTCAATTTTTCACCTTTTTTTAAAACACAATTATTTTTTTTCAAACCTGAATTTGTAAAAAAAAACGTGTTTTATTCAACCGCAAAATTTGTATTAGCCATATACGAAAAAGTTACCTTTTTAGTATATACTCTTAGTCAAAATACTAATATTAACTTAATATCACTAAAAAGACAATATCACTTAATACAGTTTCTCTGAGTGGTAACTGCTACTGACACTCTGGGATTTCGTATGATAAAAACTCTCGGCTTTCGTGATTTTGGTTAAACACATAATTTTGAAACAACGTTTTTAAGCATTTTCATATATGGAAAAAACGCCTGCACTTCAAATTTTTAGAGTATGGAAAAAAATTTTCATACAATTTCATAGCATAAAAAATGCTGTTGCCATTTTACACAATTTTTGTTAAAAAGATATGGCAAAAGTTGATTATTTATTCTAGAATTTGGCAAAAAACGCTTGTTATGAAATTTCATAGCATGGAAAAAATGCTGATTTCTCTTTTTTCAGACGATATCTTCTGGTCTATGAAATTTTTTGAAATTGTGTGACAAGCAATTTTTTTCTAGTATGAAATTGTTTGTCAAGCATTTTTTGTCAGTCTTTTTTGGGTTGTCATTAAAAAAAGGTTTTGTGTTCTCGTAGATGACATTATGGTATAAAAACTTATATTAAATATATATTTAAAAAATTCTGGCTAATATCAACCGATTGGATTTCAGTTCAAGTGTGACGGATTGGAAATATACAGCGGCCAAAATCGGTTCTTTAAACCACGCTTTCTTTTTTTGGCTACCACAATGAAAACAAAGGAGTTGATTGCCCATACTGAAAAAAAACAGCAGTGCCAATAATAATAATGCCCTTTTTCAAGATGTGTTCTTCTGTAATGTGTTTTTGCCCATCTTTTCAATCTCTCGTGCCCGTGATTAAACTGGATGGTCAAACCAGCATATTAATAAATCTAAGGTACGCTAGTACCAACCACACAATTTTTTGAAACAAATTAGAAACAAATTTTTGAAACGCCCAATTTCAATTTTTGAGCGCTTAAGTAAATAATTTGATTACTTTTTAGCGAAATCGGTGGTTCATTTTACTTGTTGCGCTCAAAAAACAGTATTTCAACATCTTGAACTGAAACTAAAATGCTTCAATCCAATTAGGTAGAATAAGCCACTCAAATTTCAGCGAAATATCAAAATATTTGTCCAAAACTTCAAGTCGAAGTATAAATAAGCCAAATTCGTCAAAATTTTAGAATATTTGTCAAGCTGTGCAAATTTATTTCAATCAAGATGCAAATTTTTGGCTAGACCAGATCAAAAAAAATAGCTCCAGGACAAATACCTACCGTCACATCCAGCAGATAATGAATGGGCCTTGTTAAAAAATAGCCAAAGCATCGCGTTTGCATTAACCAAGCCAATCAGTGTGCTCAGTATTTTGGTTTATTCATTTATTCACTGAATAATACAAAAATGGCAAAACCAAGACATTTAGGCGAAATAAGTAAATAGACTAAATTGGTTGTATGTATTTTGCTCAGTTAAGGTAAATTGTTCTCATCATCACGGTACTTGTTAGTCTCTATTGAATATTTTCGACTTACTACCATGAAATC